GAATTGTGTGGCTTAGGTTCTGGGAATGGAGGATTCAGTGGGGGCTGGGACTGGGGGCAGAAGGCTCCCTTGAGAAGATAGCTTTTGAGTTGAGCCTTGCAGGATGGGTAGAATTGGCATGAGCAGAGGGGTAGGGCGGCATTAGAGGCTGCAATGGGCTTTGGAGGAAAGGGGCTCCCTCAGCCTTGAGGACAGGGACTGGCTTTTGCCTATTTGTGTATCCTCAGCCCTTAGCACGATGCTTGACACATAGTAGGCACTTAATAAATGTTGATTGATTGAGGAAGAAAGCCAGTCTGGAGCTAGATGGTCTCTGCATATGGAGGATGTAAAGGTAGATAAAGCCACATTGAGTAGGGGCATTTGGATTGGAAGGGAAGAGTCCCAAGGCAAGAGACCAACCTAGGGCTGTTACAGATAGTCAAGGTAAGATACAAGGAGGGTTTGGACGAGGATGGTAGCAGTGGGAGTGGAGAGAAAGGGTCAGATGTAAAGACACTAAGAAATAAGGGAAGTTGGGGCAGCTAGGTGGTGCAGTAGATAGAGCACCAGCCCTGAAGTCAGGAGGACCTGAGTTCAAATCCAGCCTCAGACCAAACACTTGACACTTACTAGTTGTGTGACCCTGGGCAAATCACTTAACCCCAATTGCCTAAAAAAAAAAGGGGGGGAAGTAGCTGTGCCACATAGAGCCCTAGATCTGGGGTCAGAAGTCCTGGGTTCAAATCTAGACTCTGCTGTTTACTAGCTGTGTGACCTCAATCACATAACTCAGCCTCTCTGGGCCTCCATTTCTTCATCTCTAAAAAAATTTTTTGTAAATCTTGAAAAGCTATATGAATAGAAATTATCGTATAAGTTATTAAAAGTAGGATCCACAGAACTTGGAATAGTGTTACAATAGAATCCCTTGCTCCTGGAAGAGTGGATGGGGTATGAGATCTGGGGAAAGAATTTCGTCTTTATAGCCAGTCCCAAGTCGCAGGCCCTACTCCCTTCTCCCAGCCCCCTTGAACTGGCAGTAATGTATGTGCCCACACAGAAGAGCCGCCTCGAGGCTAAGATTCATCACAGACTGTACCCCTGGTCTAGCTTGAGGTTCCAAAGAGACACTGGCTTCTCACGGGCAAGAGACAGCATCACGAAGGCATGGTGCTAGACTTGGAGTTAGGAACACCTGAGTTCAAATCTGGCCTCAGACACTTATTTAGCTGTGTGATCCTGGGCAAATCACTTATCCTCTCTCAGCTTCAGTTTCCTCATCTGTAAAATGGGGATATGATAGCATCTACATCACAAGCTTCTTGTGAAGGTCATTGAGTTAACATATACAAAGTATTTTGCAAACCTTAAAGCATTATAAAAATGCTAGTTATTATTATTGTTAATTATTGGGTTTTTTAAGGGCTTACATTGCTTTGGACCCCAGTGGGCAAGAGAGGAGGTTCCTTGAGAGGGCACCTCGAGGGTGGTCCTGGGAAAGTGATGGGTACAGAAGGAATGGCCTAAGGCCTCCTGATGCTTCTCTCTCCAACAGTGGCTGTGGGGAGACGGAGACAAAACAGAGGCCCTCTCCTCACTTCATGTCTTTTCTGCCCATAGATCATTGCCTGTGGGATCTCAGTCATTGTGCTGTCCAGATACCTCTCCCTCACCTCCCTGGTATAGTGGCCCCCAGAAACCCAGGCTTGGATGGGGATGGGAGGGGGCAAGAGGGAAAGGTGGGACCAGGCTAGGACAGGATGGGCAAGGGGTGAGATCAATCTGTCCTTGTGGGGTAGGGCAGGAGGTTTGGGGACCATGTCGTTGAGAAGAGTTGGGCTCCCCCAGAGAATATCCGGGTATTTGGGGTAGGACAGGAAATTTGGAGACCATATCACTGAGAAGAGTTGGGCTCCTCCAGAGAATAGCTGGGTGTTTGGATACAAAGAAAACAGCATTGTCTGGAGGCTCAGGAGAACAGCCTTCCTCCTCTGATTCACTGTGTGACTTTGAGTGATCTTCTTCCCCTGTTTTCTTCTACATAAAATAAGGAGGTTGGATTTGATGATTTCTGTCCCACTCCCCTTAGCTGAGATTTCTAGTACGTTACATACATGCATGCATGTGCACACACGCATTGCCCTGCCCTGATCATCTTGTGCTCTGAGCCCCCGAGTACTGGTCATAGATGGTGGGAGGAAAGACGTCTCAGCCTGTGGGTGGTGTGTGTTGAGGAAGGGGCTTATCTCTGGCCGGTGCCCCCTCCCCATAAATGGACCTCTTCCTTCCAGCGATGGACAGTGTTTGCTGCCAGCATAGCTGGTGCTCTCTTCTCCCTGGTCTGCTCCCTTGACCTCCTGGCATCAATCGCCATCACCTTTGCCAACCAGGGTCGGTCACTGCTTGCCACCTGTTCCTTTGGTAAATCAGAGCTCCTCTCCCTGACGCCGGACTGCCCCTTTGACCCCACCCGAATCTATGTAAGTGACTCCCAATGGTGGGCTTTCCTAGGATACGTGACTCCCCTGGGGACACTGTGCCTATCTGTGTAAATGACTGTTAAGTTTAGAACCCCCCTGATTTTCCCTTAGGTCCTATGTCCACCTTATGTGACCCCCCCACTTCAGGGTCCTCCCTATGTGAATGTTTTCTGAGGGCAGGTCTCCCTGGGGCTCCTAACTGCCTTCTTAGGCTTGTATGTAAGTGACCCTTTGAGTCTTGGCTCCCTGGACTGGTCTTTAAACCCCACGTGCACTTACGGAGGTGACTGTGGTGGGGCAGCCTCCCACCTGGTTCAGACTCAATTTTCTCTGGCTCTGAGCTCACTCTATGTGACCTTGAGGAAGTCACATGGCTTCTTTGGCCCTTAGCTTCCTCATCTGTAAAATGAGGGAGTCAAACCAGAACACCTCTGAGGTCCATTGGAGCTCTCCACCTATGACCCTATGATCCCTTAGGCTCTGGGCCAGGGTCATTCAGGGTCGCTGTCTCACCTCCTTCCTCCTCTCCTCCCACAGAGCTCCACCCTGTGTCTCTGGGCCATCTCCTTGGCCCTTTGTGTGGCTGAAAGTACCTTTGCTGTCCGGTCAGCCCAGCTCGCCCACCAGCTGCTGGAACTGAGGCCTTGGTGGGGGAAGAGGAGTCATCAATTGGTAAGGATTCTCCCACCCCTCCCTGCACTCCCATGCCCAGCCCTGTGCCAGGGCTGGGAGTCAGGACCCCTTGGCTTCTCCCCAGGAGCTGCCCAGGTGTGTGACCTCAGGCTGTCCAGCTGTGGGCACCCCTCATGCTTGACAGCAGATTTTTTCCTGTTTATTTCCTTATCCGGCAGGGGGCAAAAGTCACTGTCCCCAGTGAACAAAGGTGAGAAAACCTTAGGCTTAGCTAGGTATAGCTTTTGGTTGTCACCCTGCTAATCCTTAGAATTCAGGTCTCCTGAGTCCCCAGGCCAAGAGTGCTATCCCCTATCACCCAAAAAAGGGAAGCAAGCTTTCCACAGGCAACAGCTCCACCCTGTTAGCTAACAAAGGCAACCAGCCCTTTCCATGGGACTTTGCCAGCTCTCTTGGGCCTGAGAGGAGAGATATCAGCAGACTAAGGAGTGTTCCTAGAATTTCTCAATGCTAGGAGACACCTCAGAAACCACTGAGTTCAAGCCTCTCCTCTTCAGATAAGAAAATTAACTCCAGACATGGGAGTTAATGGGGACATGCCCAAGGTCCCCCCAATAAGTTAAAGATTGGAGTGGGAAAAAAGGAAAAAGAAAAGATTGGAGTGTGAAAGAGAGAAGATGGGAAGAGAGGATGTGTCTGGTGCTTTGGGCTCCCCAGAGGGTGGCCCTTGGAAGAGGCCACATAGCTCACAGGCCTCAAGATGAAGATTTTGGTAGTTACCTAGTCTAGCCTCCCATTTGATAGATGAGGAAACTGAGGCTCGGTGGAATTGTGGCTTGTCCAAGCTCAGGTAGAAAGGAAGCATCAGTGTGGGGCGGTGAATATGGGTCTTCTGACTCTAGGAGGCTCTCTTCTTCCCAAGGTACTAGAAAGCATCATTTCCTGACTTTTTCTTTGGCCCCTGAAATCTAATTGGCAAGACTGGCACATGTCTAGAGCAGGCTAACCAGGAGGGGGAATGGACACTAGAAATAACCTAAATGAGGAAAGATTACACGACCTCTCAGGGTTTTTCCAGATCAATGAAATGGAGGTGTGTATACTGGACGATACTTGAGAAAGACATGGTAGCTCTTTCCCGTCTGAAGGACTATAATGTGGGAAAGGAGTTAGTCTTGTTCTTCAAGGAGCACAGATGGGTGGAGGATGGGCAGAGTAATGGGGGCAAGCTTTTTAACAATTAGAGGTTATCTAAAGTGAAATGACTGGCCTTGGGAGGCCATTGGTTCTACTTTTGGAGGACCTCAGTCAGAATCTGAATGACTCCTTGTTGGAGATCTGCAGGGGGGTATTTCTGCATTGGTTGGGAATTTGGAGTAGATGCCTTTCCATTCCAGGATTTTGTGGCCCACTTCCGGATCAGGACTCCTTCTGGGAGGAAGGTTAGGCACAGAACCGTTCAGCTCAGCCCAAGCCTGTTTGTCACTACTTCTTCTCAGCTCCATTCACCCCTATCTAGGGTGTGTGTGTGTGTGTGTGTGTGTGTGTGTGTGTGTGTGTGTTGGTGAGGGTGGGCATAGATGGGGGACATACAATGGGAACTTCCTCATGACCTCCTTCACAGGTCACAGAAAGCTCAAGCCTTTGTGAGGGCCGAGATCTCCTCAGCTGCTCCAGCTTGGAGCCAGCACCCCTCTGAGAGATGAAGGACTCATCAGCTCCTGGGGCCCTGGAATCCTGGCCCCCTGTTGACCTGGGCCCACATCCCCCTGGGAAGCCCTGTGATCTCCTTTCTTTGAAGAAACCAGGCAGGTGCCTGAGAGCCTCCCCAGCCTGCCATGTGCCTGAAGCCTGCCTGACCCCCAAAGCCACCACTCCCAGTCCCAGGCCACTCTGGCCCAGGGCCCAGCACAGAGACAAGACTTTATTCTGAAGTTATTAAAAAGAACAAAGTAATTCCAAGTGGATGCATGCTCAGAGGAGGGGGCGGGGACTGCTGAAGCTGCCCCTGGGTCTGGGGGAGGAGGGGAGAGGAGGGGAATGTTTTGAGACACCCAGTTTTAGGGATGGGTTGGTGAAGGGAGTGGACAGGTCTGGGTGTCTGGGTAGAATGGGGGAGGGCCAGGGAGTGGGTAGACCCAGACCCACATCTGTGCATGTACATATGGAAAAATTCTCAGGGCAGGGCTGCCCCTGGGGGGAGGGGGCTCATGATTAGCTCCTCACAATCCCCTTCCCCCCCCCAGACCCCCAAACTGAAGCAGGAGAGACCCAGGCCTGGATAGGAATCCAGGGGGCTTGGAGGAGGGGGAAGAGAATGATGCCAGTGCCACGTGCCACTGGTACCTCCCCACCTCCAGAGCTCCTCCATCATCTCCAGCCCCCTCCACAGGCAGCTGCCCCAGCCTCCCTCCTCACTACCACCCCCCACCTCTCTCGAGTTATACAGCTGGCTAGGCCTGATATAGAGTGGGAGGCGTCCTGCTCTTGGCCGTGGATGGGGCCATCGAGTCCCCTTGGCTGAGAAACCTCATGGATAGGGAGGATCCCTTGGGTATCAGGCATCTAGCTGTCCTTGGACTTTGAGGGGAGGACCTGGGTGGGGGGGAGGGGGAAGCTCCTGGATGCATAGGGATACACTATCTTCCCCATTGCAAGTATGTCCACATGCCCAGCTCCTGCCCTTCCTATATCCAACCACCCCAGGGTGCTTGGGCTGAGCCCTAGTCAGAGGCTGAGGAAGGAGGAAACTCTACCCCTGCTATATGGAGATGGGGACCCAGGAATCTGGGGTAGGAGCAGGGGACAGCTTAGGCCCCACCCTAACCCGGGCTTTCCCAAAATCCAGTCTGGACACAAAGACATGGGAAGGGGAAGATGTGGGAGATAGGAATTGAAGACAGGGTAAGGCAGGGTCCCAGCCTGGCCCTCTACCCTTCCTTTTCCCCATCCCCCAGGAGACCCCAGGCTCAAAACTGGGAGGTGCTGCTGGGGTCACACTGAAGCAGCCGGACAATGGATGGGTCGCTCTTGGCTCCTCTGATGAACTCCTCCAGGGACAGCTTCCCTGGTGGGGAGGACAGTGGTCAGTTTGGAGAACATCAGTCATTTAGGAGGCAGTTGATGTGAGGGGAAGGCATCAATTTGTTGGTGAAGGACAGAAGGGATCAGGGAGTAAGGGGGAGTCTTCCTGGACAGGAAAGGGGCTTGGCCAGGGTCCCAGGGAGCCCCCACTCCCACTCCCCTCACCATCATTGTTTGTATCCATCTGACGAAAGATTTTCTCAGTTCGCTTCTCAGGAGTCGATTCATCCTCTGGCATCTTCATCACAGAAGACACCATCTTGTAGATAGCCTAGAGGTGAGGGGTCAAGAGAAAGGGGAAGACTGATTGATCAAGGGTGGGCTGGCCTGCTCTCCCCCAATCTCTTCCTCTGCCTTAGCATAGCCTTGCACAGATATTATAGCAACTGCTTCCTAAGTATTTGAGTTGAATTGGCCTGGGCTATCGGCCTGTGTGACCAGCAGGGGGTGCTCTGGGCCAGGATCCCTTCCCTCCACCATCTCCCTAGAACAAGAGCACAAGATTGAAGCCGAGGGCAAGGCCTGGAATGTCTCTTAACTTGGACCATCAAAGCAGAAGGAAACTGACGCTAGTGCACTCGGGAGAAAGTCCCCCCTTCCCGATTTATGCAAAATAGATGTAAATGAGCATCTGCTCTGGGAGTCCTCAGTTTGGGCAGTGTTGGGAGAGGGAAGGTGGGAGATCGGACCCAGCCAAGTAGAAATTATGCAAATGCACACATCAGGTGTCAGGTGTCAGGCTGGAGAGTCAGGAGTATAGGCAAGGCTGGTAAAGAGGGTTCAGCAACTGGAATATCAAGGAGGAGATATTCATACTAACTTATGTGAAATTATGCAGATGAGCACCAAGGGCAGGGCTTGGAGGTCCTCGACAAGCCATGCTGGGAGGAGGCACTGGTTACCATTGGAGGGGGATAGCTTCCCCTACACACACATACACAACACACACACACACACACACACACACACACACACACACACATACACACTGTAGGGAAACAGATTCAGATTCACCCTGCAGTAAAAAGTGAAATAATGACTCCAAGGAACATCAGATTCAAGGATACAGAGCTTAGACTCATGGAGGGAAGCTTGGAATTGATCTTACATATTAATTAATAATTAATAACTAACATTTCTATAGCACTTACTATGTGCCAGGCACTGTGCTAAGCACTTTACAATTATTAGCTCTTTTGATCGCATTGTTCAATCTCATCTACAGAGGAGGAAACTGAGGCAACATAAATTAGCAGCAGAGACCAAACTAGAATCTAGTTCTCCTAATCTTTGTAATTCTTTCTCCAACACCACACTACTTATTTGAGGGACACTAAGGATAAAAATCTGAATGAAACAAAGAGAACTTAGAAAGGAGCATCTCATGAGAAGAGCCTAGGAAGGTAGGTCAGGACCAATTGGTGAAGAGCCTTGAACGCCAGGATCAGGAATTGTGGCTTTGATCATAAGCTACGAAGCAGGGCAGTGAAGTGATAAAATGAGATTGAAGACAGGTATTGCAGTTGGCACCAGGCGAGGCACCCCAAAGCATTCAGTCCCCTCCCCTCTTACCCACCTGCTACCACTCCCTAGAATGACTCTTTCTTCCTTGCATGGATATACTTATGCTATTCCTCTGCTCTATAATCTTCAATAGCTCTCTATTGCTTCCATATAGCTTGTCTCCCATGTCTGTAATGTGCTCCCTTCTTACCTCTACCTCTTAGCATCCTTAGTTCTGCTTAGGATTCAGGTCAGGTGTCACCTCCTAGGGCAAGTCTTTCATGATTTCTCACCCCCACCCACTGTTGCTAGTGATTTCTCCCTCCTCAAATAAGCTTATGTTTATGCTGCTGTTTAACCTTTCATAGTCATGTCCAACTCTTTATGACCTCATGTGGGGTTTTCTTGGCAAAGACACTGGAGTCGTTTGCCATTTCTTTCTAGCTCATTTTGCAGATGAGGAAACTGAGGTAAACGGGCTGAAGTGACTTGCCCAGGCTCACACAGCTAGTAAGTGTCTAAGGCCACATTGTAGTGCAGATAAGTCTTCCTGATTCCAAGCCCAGTGCTCTAACCACCGCACCACATGTTATATCCCCCTATAAAGTGTAAGCTACTTGAAGACAATTTTCATTTTTGCTTTTATATCCACAGAGCCTTACACATATTAAGTACTTAAATGCTGAATTGCTTAATATAGTTCAGGCACTTGTGGCTGGCATTCAAGGCCTTTCCAATTTGATATCACCCTGCCTTTCCCACCTTATCTCGTATTACTTCACATACTCAAATTATGCTCCAAGAAAACTGGGCTGCCTCTCTGCACCTCCCTGCCCCAATATAAAGACCTTTTCCACCTTGGTGCCTTACCTACCCAATTCTCTAAGCCTATAATTGCTTCCCTCCTCCTCTTCACCATCCTTGAAATCTCATTTCAAATACCACCTCCTCCAGGAAGCCTTGTCTGAATCCCCTTTTAGTAATAACCTTGCCTCCCAACCCTCACACGGCACTTTGTATTTCTGCAGGGCACTTTCGTCATACTGTATCAATACATAGATACAATATACAATATGTACAATATACAACAGAGTGATCTATTTGTGTCATATCCCCCTACTAGAGACAATTTACAGTTTTCTCTACATTCTGTACCTCCCCCAGGCCCCAGAGATGCCCTGAACACAGGAGATGGTTATTAAATGTCGACTGAGGGAATGAATGAATGGATTGATTCTACTCTGCCAGGGCTGGTGGGAGGCCAAGGGGATGAGGGGGACAGCTGCACAGTACCTGGACAATCTCCAGCATCTCTTCCCGGCTGATGTAGCCATTGCCATCCAGGTCATACATGCTGAAAGCCCACATGAGCTTCTGCTCCAGTTTCCCTCGAGAGGTGACACTCAGAGCGATGATGAACTCCCGAAAGTCGATGGTGCCGTCCCCATTGGTGTCAAAGGTGCGGAAGACATGCTCAGCAAACTTGGAGGCATCTCCATAGGGAAAGAAATTGGCATAGATCTTCTTGAACTCTTCCACGTTGAGGATGCCAGTGGGGCAGTCTTTCAGGAAACCTTTGTACCACTCCTGCAGCTCCAGATCGGAGAACTCCGTATTTTCTCTTAGGTCCTGTAGCATCTCTGGGCGCAGTTTGCTATTTTGCTTTCCCATGACGGAGGCAGTGGGACTCCAGAACCCCTGCTTGCATTCCACAGGAAGAGAAGGAAAGAGAGAGACATGGAAGGACAGAGATTCAATGATGGGGGGAAGCGACAGAGGCAGTGCCAGAGACAATGTTGAAGACAACAGAGATGCAGACAGCAGGAGTCATATCAACAGGGAGCCAATGAGGTGGCCAGGGACAAAGGGAGTAGATAGGGATAGAAGGATGCAGGGAGGTACAGAGAAATAATGAGAGGGAATCAGAGAGGCAGACAAGGAGAGACATACAGAGAAACGGATAGCAATAGAGACAAGAGGATTGAGTGAAGCACAGAGAAAAGTGACAGGGAGCCACAGAGAAAGAGACAGAAACAGACAGATAGTGATAGACAGGAGGATGGGGAAAAGCTCAGAGAAGTTGTAATGGGGAGCCAGAGAGAAAGAAACAGAGAGAGACAAGGAGAGAGGGATGGAGAGACAGTGATAGATGGGGGATCGAGGGAAGCACAGAGAAATAGTGATAGGGAGTTAGAGGGATGGAGACAAGGACAGACAGAGCAATACAGGGATGGAGGAAAAGAGAGAAAGCAGAGATGAACAGTTACATACTTGTAACTTGAAGGGAAGGATGGAAAGGAATGGGGATAGGTGCAAGGAAAGGAAAGACAGCCAGAAGGAAGGTTGGAGAGGATGGAGAGCCTGCTTTCTTTCAGACTCCATCACCCTCTTGACCTAAGATCCTTAAGCTTCCTCCAAGAACAGGCTCAGAAAGGAAATTCTTCAGTGAGAATAGGATGGACCTAGAAATGTCAGGGCTTGCTCACCCAACCCCATTCTGCTGTTTTCCTCTGCACTTTGCATGACCTAACTTGTACCCAAGCACACCTAAGACCACTATCACATTACTCATGCACACGACATTGCAAAATTCTCAGATGAGAGCGCTGGCCATTGCCAACCATGTAGCTCCACCTTGTTATTTTACAGATGAAGAAACGAGGGGAAGTGACTTGGCCAAGGTCACACAGCAAATCAGTGGGCTGGGACCCACACCCAGGCCTTTTGATTCCCAGGCCAGGACTTTCTCTCCTGCTCCCTCTACCACTCTTCAGAAAGTTGACACATACTTGCGCATGTATAATCATATTCCTAGACATTGGCCCCTGCACCACTCCTGTGCCCCTTCATACACTGGAAATATTGTGGGTGTTAGGGCAGCAGCCCTTTGTCATTCCCCTCCTGCTGTCTTGTGGTGAGGAAGATCCTGTGCCCCCCCCTTTACCTTTCACAAGATCTGGAAAAGCCACACTTCACAGGAAGAAAGAAAAGAGATGGGACAGAGGGGGGAAAGGGCGTCCTGGAAATGGCTGACCAGTCTGGGGGTGTGTATATGTGTTTGTATGTGAGAGAGACAAGAGAGATAGAGAGAGAATGGGCAGCAGTCTCTGTGAGTCCATGTAATTGCATGTGTTCATGTACAGATTTGTGCGTGCATGTAATTGTATGTATACCAACATATTGGTCGCATACACGTGGAATGATATATTTGCATATGCACGTGGAATGATATGTGCCTGCAAAATGCATGATTTTATATTCTTGTACCTAAATGTCTGTAGGCATGCAAATACATGACTGCATGTATGTGCATAAACCTGTGCCTATGCATGTTATCTATGTGTGCATGCATCTGCATCTAAGTCCATGCATGTGTATATATATTCAGACATCCATATCCCTGAATATATGTATATGTATATGTGTACCTTTCCCTCTTGGATCAGTCCTCCCTATCCTAAGAACCCTGATATGCCACCTTCCTCTCCAAATCTTGAGGCTTTGGGCTGGGGACCCAGGCCAGTGATATGCTCCCCACCTGCGGGGGGGGGGGGAGTCAGGGAAGAAGACCCCCCAGTCATTGGCTTTTCTGCCACCAAAGAAGCCAGGCCTGCAGTATGGAGAGTACTTGGCTCCTGCAATAAGGGGCTCTGGGAACCAACAAGAATAGGGCAAGGTCTGTCTTCTCAGGCCTCAGATCACTGGGAGGAGGGAGGGTGGCACACCAGCATAGTACCTTCTCCTTTCTGCAGCCTTCCAAAGTGACTTCAACCCCACCCCCCTCAAAGGGAGAAGGGGACAAAAAATAAGGGGCTAGAGCCAGCAGTCCCAAAGATTCTCCCCCCACCCCTCAAGAAGCAGAGAAACATCCTGGTTTCCCCTCTGCAGAGAAGTGCCAGAGCCCCCCTCCTCTGCCCACACCCAGTACCCACACAACTGGAAACCCATCTCCAGAACTCCCAGTGTGGCCTGAAAAGACTGCCATAGACCATTCCCGGGCTGGAAACCCTGAACCCAAGTTCCTCTGGGTATGCCGGCGGCTCCTGGTCCATCCGTTCCTCTCCCTTCCCTGGCCCCATTCCATTGTCCCATCTTCCTACCTCTCCAGTCCCCCTTCAAAACCCCAAAGCCCCCTGACTCTGCAATCCCCCAATACCCGATAAAATCGACATTGTCCCACCCCGGTTCTGGGACACCCTCTCAGCCCCAAAATTCCTATCCTTGCTCTGGGATACTCCTACCCATATTTCCCCGCTCCCTCTGGACACCCTCCACCACAATTGCAGTGGGGCTCCTGCTCCGGTTCTCAAGGCAGTGGAGGCAGTGGAGAAATGGGGATCCCCGGGCCAAGCAGCGAATCCGGCTTCTAGAGAAGAGGGGGCGGGGGTCCCAGGAGCAGCTCCCCCATTCCACTCCCCTGGGCATCCTCCCCCACCCTCTGGAGCCCCCAGCCCCTCCCAGGAGCGCAGCCCCCACTCACCCCTCTGCAAGAAGACACTGACTACGCAGGGAAGCCGAGGCGCTGTAACGGGGGAGGCGACTGAGGGCGGCCGGAGGGGCGGGGGGAGGCCCAGGAGGAGTGGGATGCTGGAAGGCAGGAGAAGGGGGGTGCTGGAAGGCGGGAGGGAGACGCCCCACAGGCAGTCCTACCACCTCCCTCCTCCCCAGGCCCAGCCGTGGAGTCCCTCCCTCTCTCCAGGGACTCCCCAACGCCCCCTGCCCGGACGGACGCTGACTGCGGGGTGTGGACCTCGCCTCACTCACGCCCCCCCCCATTTGGGAAGGGGTGGCACTCATCACCAAGCTGGACCCCGACCTCTCTCCCCAAAGCAATGTCGGTCCCCTGCTCCTTCCTCACACCTCTCCCCTTTAGTCCTCAGACCCCAGTCTCCCAGGAAGAGGTGCCCTCCCTAAAGCTTGGGGAAGGGACCCCGGGCTTCTCCCCTCCTCCCCACCTGCTCCGGAGCCCAGGTCTCTGCCCCGCGAGGCACCTCAGATTCCTCCGAGGAGGCTGCTGGCGCCTCCCCGTGCACCGCCCCCGCCCCGCCCGCAGATACCCCTCCCTAGGCCTGGATCCCCCTGAGCTGAGTGGAGCCAGGCAGAGGGGGATGGGGGCTCGCTGATGGGAGACTTGGTATCTGGTGAGGCAGGAGCAGCTAGGGGGTCCAAGGGAACCCCTCCCCACTCGCACTCCCACCTCGTGGGTCGGCTTCGTCCGCAGCCACGCCCCCTCCCCTGCCCCGCCCCCCGGGACACCCCTCCTGGAAGCCCTGGCCCGAGGGTCGCCAAGGCGCACTCCAGAGACCGCAAGGCAAGGAGAGGGGCGCTGGGGTTGGGGGGGGGCAGGTTACCAGGACAAGTGAGGACAGGAACCGCCCCCTCCCCACACACCCACGCGCCGGCGCAAAGCAGGAGCTGCTGCGGGAGGCTTGCGGGGTGGAGGGGCGGAGGGGACACGCGGATTGTGTGGTGGCTCAGCTGAGGCCAGAGGGTCTGTGGGAGGCACTGAAAGTGAAGGAGGGAGCTCCATGACCTTGGCCTCCAACCTGTGCCCCGCTCCGCCTCCAGGTCGTAGAGGGGATGGACCCAGGCAATGGCAAAGCAGAAGAATTCCGGTCCATTCCCCTGTCTCCAGGCAGAACGGCATCTACCTGGCTCCCAAGTAGAGCCCATGGAACCAGAACACGGTGGAGCAAGTTCAAAGGCCTAAGTTCAAGTCTAGCCTCTCTTACTTCTTCCCAGAGTCACCTTGGACCAGTCACTTTATTTCGAAAATTTCCTCATCTGTAAAATGTGTATAATAATTGGTAACACAGGAGTGGAAAGAGCTCAACGTTTGGAATTGAGACACCTGGTTTCAAATGCTGGTTTTGACCTGTTTGACTTTGGGCAAGTCATTGTCCTTCTCTGGACCTCCTGAGTCCTGTCTGCTTTAGGGAGTTGTGGTGAGGATGATTTAAAGTTTGCAAAGTGCAACAAACCTCTGATACTGGTAGTTTAAGTAATAATATCCCCATTCCACAGAAGAGAAAACTGAGGTTTAGAGAAGGGGAATGACTTATCCAATGTCACAGAGTACATGAGAGCCCTAATGAACTGAAATAAAATAGTTTTAAAATCCCAAGGCACTATAAAAATGCTGTGATCTGATTGGAGGTCCTCTAATAACCTCTTCCTTTTGGGAAAGGGAAAGGAACATGCATTTTTCAAGCACCTACTATGTGCCAGGCACTGTGATCTTTGTTGTTGTTCAGTTGTATCTGACTCTCCATGACCGAATTTGGGGTTTTCTTGGCAGAGATACTGGAGCGGTTTGCCATTTGCTTCTCCAGCTCATTTTACAGATGAGGAAACTGAGGCAAACAGGGTGAAGTGACTTGCTCAGGGTCAAACAGCCAGTAAGGATCAGAGGTCACATTTGAACTCAGGTCCTCCTGACTCAAGGCCTGGGGCTCTAGCAGCCACCTAGCTGCCCTAAAGTGCTTTACAAATATCTCATTTGATCCTCACAACAACCCTGGGAGGTAGGCACTGTTATTATCCCCATTTTACAGCTGAGGAAACTGAGGCAGACAGAGGTTAAGTGACTTGTCCAATGTCACCCAGCTAATAAGTGTCAGGGAATCCAGAGAGGGAAACATATTTTCCCATCATCCCCTCTCCTGAGAGTC